AGTTCAATACGGCCGTATTGAAATTCAGAAATTTCAATGCGCCCGTATTGAGTTCACTGCGGCTGTATTGAAGCTTCAATACGGCCGTATTGATTTCAGTACGGCCGTATTGAAGTTTCAGAAACTTCAATACGCCGTATTGAGTTCACTGTGGCCATATTGAAGCTTCAATACGGCCGTATTGGGGTTCAGTACGGCCGTATTGGGCTTTTTCCCTCCACTTCTTTATTTTGAGCTATTCTAAGACCTCTAGACCTACAGAGAACCCTCCTAGGGCCTTCGAGGAGTCCTTCTGGCTGATTATCCTTCAGTCTTCGAGAGTCTTCAAGCTTTATTTCCGACCCGGACAATTTTAGGGGTCTACAGGTATCACTTGTGTTGTGAGCATATGTGCAAGTAATAGTGGATGAAGCATTGTACTAATCAACTAGAAACTATTGGAACATTGGATTGGGTTGAGACATTGATCTGTTGAAAGCATTGATAGTTTATGGTTGATGGAGTTTTTGAAATCTATAGTTGTAGCGATTAAATCCAAGGAGGTTGTATGTAGAATTGGAGTTTTGGTATTCTTGATGAGAGATTGAAATGTTGGTAATTTCCTTGAGTTTTGGTGCTTGCATGTTGACCTTTTATGGTTTAGGTAGCATGTGAGTTTTATTTTCTAAGTCTTTTGTGTTGAATATATGAGTTGCTTGAGTTTAGGATTGTAGTGGAAAGTTTGGAGATGAGTTTAAGGTGGAAAGGAGTGGGTTTGGAAGGGTTGAGGTATTTTTGTGGGATGTTAGTACACTATTGTTGTCTGGTGTAGGGGATATTTTCTCTACAGTTTTGTTGTGCTAGTATGAGTATCTTATTGATAGAGTTAGATTTTGTAGTCTTCATGAAAGTTGTAGTCTTTGATGTTATCTTTTCAATGGCACTAGAATCAAGTAAAACGAAGGTTTAGAACTCCAATTATAGTTGCTTTGGTAATCAAAGGTTTAGTTGTAAGCACTGAATATATCTGTTGTGGTTTTTGAATTTTTAGCTAAGAAGATGATCTTTTAGAATGTCATATCTTCATAAAAGTTATAGCTTATTCTCTTAGCTTTCTTTTGAGATAGGTTTGAGATCATTTGGATGACTATAACTCTCTAGGTATCATTTTCTTTGACAGTTGTTGAAGGGATATGTACGGTGTCATGATGTTTTGAGTTGTTAGGCAATACAACGATAAAAACTAATTTGGTTATGATGTTCTGAGGCGTTGTCATATAGATTGAAAGGTTGTTTAAGGTTGTATGATGTTATGTGGTAAAGTTGGTTCAGGTACATGCTATATGGAGTAAATGGTGATTAATTCGTACATGCTTAGGGATGGTATAAATGAATGTTTACAGTAGGTATTCTAATATGATTTTATGTGCCCTATGATCTTCGAGGAAGGTGATTTGGTTTGGCTTCATCTAAGAAAAGAACGTTTTCCTAAACTAAGGAAGTCCAAACTCAGTCCTAGAGGAGATGGTCCCTTTCAGGTCTTACAGCGTATTAATGATAACGCTTATAGACTTGATTTACCCTCTGATTATGGAGTAAGCCCTACTTTTAATGTTAGTGATTTAAAACCTTTTGTAGGTGCTAGTGATGATGAGGAAGAGACTTCAGATTCGAGGACGAATCCTTTTCAAGAAGGAGAGAATGATGGAAGAGCATGGGCTAAAGGCCCAACCACTAGAGCTATGGCTAGGAGATTACTTGATGACTTGTCAGCTTCAGAGCTCAGTGGGCCCAATGGGCTTGGTGGACCTATGGTGCTTCTCACTTGGGCTACACTTGATTGAACACCATGTTTTATAGCACATTATTAGAATAGGAAGTTACTTTGATTTTGGTCTTGTGTTTTGGCCATAGATTAGGGTTTATGGATTTTAGGCTTGTATTTGGGCTTCTTGGGCTTTGGGCTTTTGATACCCAATATTGGGCTCATTTTTCTTCTTGTAATTTTTCCTATTCATTGTATTTCTTTGACCAATGTATTTAGGTCATTAGATTAGGTTTATACGAAGTATATATTAATAGGTGCATTAGGATTCATTTCTATGTCATTTAGAAGTCATTTGATTTGAATTTGAGTCACACGGATTGCATGGTAAGGACCAGCTATGTGAACCCTAAATTCAAATCCAAATAACTTCCAAATGACATTAAAATGAAGGTAGCATCCAGATTAGTCACATGATTGGCCAAAGTTTGAATTTCAAATTCAAATTTGAAATTCAAACTTGGCGCCAATTACACTTTCTCAGATTGGCGCCACTTTAGCTTAGCTTCCCACCTATAAATGTATATTCCATGCCTTGTACTCTCACTTTTGAATATATTGAGTTTCTGAATCATTCGTCAGCAATTCTTCAAGAGTCACCGAATTAGAGAGCAAGAGAGAGTGCCTTCAAACACTTTAGGAATTACCTAGTTCCTTCCCTTTGAAGTGAGCAATCTCTTGATTGCTTAATCTTGGATACTTCCTTCCAAGGCTTAGGCCTTCCAATCCGAGAATCATCCTTCTTCTTTTGTTCATCACTACGGTTTCCATCTCCTTTGAAGAAGATCCGAGCTAAGGTGAAGCTAAGGAGAAGATCATCTACCACTCCTCCTTACCTTCTCCATCAAACACTTCATACCAACTTGCTACAAGAAATCACTAGCAATGGTAGTCATGCCACAACTAATATGGTCTTGAGCCAACTTCACATACAGATTCAAATATCTGAATTTCTCAACCAACTCCAACTCCTTTACCATCAGACTACACATGTGGATGGACTTCCTACTCAAAGAATCCGCCACTACATTGGCCTTCCGAGGGTGATACATCAAAAGAAACTCACAATCTTTTAAAATATTCCATCCACTGTCTCTGTCTCATGTTCAACTCCTTATGATCAAGCAAGTTCTTCAACTCTTGCAATCACCAAAGACATTGAACCCTGCACTATAAAATAGTGCATCCATACCTTTAAGGCAAAACAACTGCTGCCAACTCTAAGTCATGAGTAGGGTAATTCCTCTCATGATTCTTCAATTGCCTTAAAGCATATGCAACTACTCTCCTATTCCACATCAACACACACCCCCAACCCTTGGTGAGAAACATCACAACACACCTCAAATGACTCACTAGGATTAGGCAACACCAACATAGGAGAAGTAGTCAATCTTTCTCTTCAACTCTTCCACATGACATTTTAATTCAACCAACTCTGTTGGGACCATCCTATAGGGAGAAACCAACACTAGCCATACACTAGAGACCAGATCAATGCTAATCTCAATCTCCCTAGTAGGAGGTAACCTAGACACCTCATCCAAAAACACCTTCATAAATTCCCTCACAACTCCTACCTATTGATCACCTTCTCAGTTTCCACACTCACAGCAACAAGCAGAACACAACACTCTGCTCCATCTATCAACATCACTTCAGTTTGGCTGGCTGAAATCAACAATTCATCCTCCCCCTAAGGGAAAAACCAACTCCCTATTGACACAATCTATAAGAATGTGATTGAAAGATAACCAATTCATCCCTAAGATTATGTCAACCAACACACATCTTAGAGGCAACAATAGAAACAGAAGCGTGCACAGACACAAGCAATCTCAACCCTAGATTACGTACAAACAAACCCAACTTTTCAGCATATGTATATAAAATAAATGAAAGGGAGGCTCTGAGTCAAATAACACCATCACATCCTTACCAGTAGCTTTACTGATGGAATCATGCCTAGGAAAGCAAGGGGTGACACATTGAAAGAGCCAAGAGGAATGGGCTAGATATGAAGATTTGGGCCAGTCGAGGTCCAATGGGCCCGATGGGCTTGGAAGGCCCAAGTTGAACTTCTCATGGGCCATATCTTGTTTTAGCTATTTTCTTATGTCTTGTATATATCATGTTAGTATAGGATTCCTATATTTTAGGTCTTGTATTTTGGACCATTTAGGATAGCATTTTAGGATATAGGCTTATTGGGCCTAGTTTTGGGCTTCATGGGCCTTTGGGCTTTTGGTACCCAATATTGGGCTCATTTTCATTCTTGTAATTTTTCCTTTCCATTGTATTTGCTTGGCCATTGTATTTAGGCCATTAGAATAGGAATTTAGAAGGATTAAGTAATAAAGCATGAATCATAGAATGTTAATTACATTTAGGAGTAATTAGAGTTTCATTTGAGTCACATGTTTTGTGCCAAAGGTGGCTGCACATGTGTACACTCAAATGAACCCTAAATTACCTCTAAATGCAATTAAGAATCTAGAAGGAAGGGCTGCACATGGGTTAGGATAAGTGGACGTCCAATTTGAATTCAAATTCAAATTTGAATTCAAATTGGCGCCACTTTTGAGTGCACATGTGATGGCTCCAAAGACTCCTATGATCCGTGGCTTTAAATGCTTGACTCCTTCACTATTGTAAACACTTTTGAATGAATGAGAATTCTGAATTTTACTTCAGCCATATTCTCTCCAAGAGTCACCAAATTCTCACTAAACCTAGTCTTAGGAAAACCTCCATTCCTAAGCTTGAAAGTGAGCTTTCATTTGGATCTTTAGCTTGGATGCTTCCATCCTTAGCTTAGGGATTCTCCTATCATTCCATCCATCTTCTTCCATCTTTTAAACTGTAGCAAGCTCAAGGAAAAGGTCTTCAAATTCGGAGAAGGTCATAAGAAGCAAGAATCACTCCATTGTTTCAACCTAAACTCCATCATTTACCCTTCCCCTTCACTAGATCAGATGAAGTGGAAGCTTCGGCTCGGGTCAAGGTAAACACCCTCTCAGCTACAGTAGATCTATCACCCCTCAGGGCACTCCTGGTCTGTCTGGCACCTACAGGACAACTAATCGACATGTGACCCACCTGGCCACACCTAAAGCACTTGCTATTGGTATGAGGGCAATCACGAATGAAGTGAGGTCCACCACATCTATAACATCTGAGAGTAGCAACTCCACTCTGACCCCAACTCCTAGTTGTGTCAGTATGTTTCCTTGTGACAGGACCCCCCTTGTTGTGATTGGGGCCTATCATAAGGCTTCCTTTGACCTCCACCCCTCTTGGACCCAGCTGGTCCCTCAATAGTCTTCGCCACCCGGTTGCCACCTTCTAATCGCTCAACAACTTTCATCTTCTCAACTAATGCGAGAAACTCAGTGATGGCCATAGGCACCACCACCCTCTTCAACTCATGTTTCAAACCTTCAACAAACTTTCTACACTTCCAGACTTCAAAGATAGCCTGTGAATAAAAAAACGAGCCAAATGCTCGAACTTCATCGCATAATCTGAGACTGTCAAGCTCCCTTGATGCAACTTTATAAACTCCGCTTCCTTGGAATGTCTCACACTCTCAAGGAAATACTTCTCGAGAAACACCCTCTTGAAGCATTCCCAATCAACCACCACTCCTCTAGCAACCAACATTTGATGAGTGCCCCTCCACCAATACTCAACTTCCCTAACCAGCATATAAATGGCATAAGCCAACTTCCTTTCCTTAGAATATCTCAGCACTGTAAACATCTTCTCCATCTCACAGATCCAGTGGTCAGCTACCTTTGGATCTGTATCACCTTTGAACTGAATAGGACTACACTTCCTAAACTCAGCCAAGTCCCGACTCTCCTGTGACCCAACTGGTCTTGCTACACTAGCTGCAACTCTCTTATCATTCATCCTAGCAAAGTAGGCATTCTGTTGTTGCATAGCCATAACCATCATCTCCATGGCATGGGCTATCTGCTCATGCTCTAAGCATCTTCTACAAAATGAACAACTCATTCAACACACTACATCTCAACTACTCAACACAAAGTAGCACAACATCCAACATAACACAGAGTTCAAAGCAACAAAAGCCTAAAGGAACCACCCCCACAGAGTGTCCACTAGACTCGAACTACTCTGATACCATAAAAGTGTAACGACCCACTGTGGCCGTCACACTACAAAACAACACTACACACTACTGGAATATATATACTAAAATAGTATATAAAAAAATATTTACAACACAAGTTTCTAATCAAGTAACCAACAACAATCAATTATATACAACAAAGTATGCTACTATAAGGTAGTCTAAAAAAATATTCATTTCCAGGCACCTCCTGTGGCCTCTAGCAGCTATCTCCCAGCCTATCCCTGCCCTGCTCCCATACAACGTATGATCATCGCAGTCCAAACCACATGGAAACATGCAAGGGTAAGCTAGAGACAATAAACAACTCATAAATATCAAATATTCAACATAACAACTATAATCATCTTCACATCCGACATAGAAGACAAACAACACATATATTACAAATCTGTCAACAACATATGTTTAAAACACCTTACAACATAACAACACTATCATCATCCTCAACAGGGTCAACATACAACTCAATCACAGCTTAACAACATAACAACATAGATACAACTCTTATCAACAACAAATCAACTCATTAAAAATTATGCGTCGTCAGGCATTTCAACTCGGAGATCTCCAACAACTGAGGTTGAGCAGTCTAGGTGGCATAAACCCTACCGAATCCAGCATTTGACCTATATCAACTAGGTCAGGTATAGAACAGCGTAAGGAACTCCGAAGAGAACTAGGTATAGACAACAATAGGCGATTGCTCAGGTGTGCCACTTAGACTCGGAGGTCCAGTAGTACTGTCAGGACAAAAGGGTTTTGGTATGAGCCTACCACAGCCTTGGCTAGCATCACCAATCCACATATGGGGTTAGCCCACCCATTGCCCTCCAAGTACCATGCACCCTCCAGTACCTAGTCAAAGACTACATCTCTAACTAGATACCTTACTCAAATTGGTCATTCAACCATGACATGGATCGACTAATTCCATGTCACCCACATAGCACTAAGGGATTCAAATTTAAAACAACTTTCAACTTATCTCCTTAGTACTATGTATCTCAACATAGGACATATATCTTCACCATATGTCCCCAACTTTTCAACTTTACACAAAAGACACCATAACAACTTTACAATAATAAACATCTGGCCACTTGTAATCGGTATAGCTTGGCCTGGCTCCTATACCGTGGTCGCTTTGTACATGTGTGTCTCGACCTTGCTCACACACGAGATCAACTAAGTCCTAGAGGAGAACAACACAACGTCCACTCCAAGGGACAACTTCCCAAGGAGGGTTTTTCAACAAATTGGGCTCTCAGAGCACCACAACTATCTCAGTCCACACAATGGGATGAGCAACTTCGAAAACATCTCCCTTAGTCCTAGTGATGATCAACTCATCATCCCAGCTTAATCAGCTTAACAAATTAAACAACATACAACTTTTCAACTCATCATCTCAATCAACATTTAACTTGAACAACATAGTTTATCAACACAACAACTCATCTACATTGTTTAACAACACAACAACTCATCTACATTGTTTAACAACACAATCTAAACAACTCAACAACTCATTTCAACTTTAAACAACACAATATTAGCTCAACTCATAATTTACAACTCAATCATCATAAGGTAATCTCTTTTAAACACATGGCACAACATACAACTTTATAGCAACATACAACTCTCTTCTAACAACTTAACAACACAGTCTACTAATAACATCTATATAATTCTCAACACATTTACACACTTCAAGTCTTGCTTCTCACAACTCACAATATTATCATCATGTACTTCTCAACTTTCAACTATATCATCTCGTCTTATTTCACAATATAAACATGTCCACACATAACTTATAACAACTTTATCAACTTAATTTTAACATGCTTCAACAATATCATAGATCAATACACAACTTGTAAACAACTTCACAACTTAATTACAACATGCATCTCATTTACATCCCATCTCCATTATGAAAGCATCACCAACAAAACATCATTAATAAATATTAAATCATATATTAGCAACACACAACATTTTCACCTTGTAACACAACTCATATACAACCAACAAATTTACAACCTAGCTTCCCTTACCTGAAGATTGGCTCTAAAAGCCAAGAATCTGAAAAGAAGTAGAATTCCCTTCCGAAGCTCAACCCAGAACTTCAATCCTCTCAAAGCAAGCTTCCTAGTCCAGATTCCTTCTCTCTAGAACTTCTATCTAAAACCTCCATTCTCCTCAACTGCCCACAACCTCTATTTACAGAATTTCCAGAGTGGCCAGAATGGCCTGTTCTGAATCCGGAACGGCCCGTTCTACACCCTTTCATCACGTACAAAAATCACATGTAGAATAGCTCGTTCTGAAATCAGAACAGCCCGTTCTGGGACTCATCCAGAACGGTCTGTTCTCCATCCAGAACGACCCATACTCCCTCTAGAATGCCCCATTCTGGGGTTTGGAACGACCCATTCTCCCTCTAGAATGGCCCGTTCTCAACTACATTTTACAAGTCAATTTAGTAGTTTGGAACGGCCCGTTCCTGTTTGGGAACGGCCCGGTCTAGGCTACTAAATCACCCATATTGAGCTTTTGGGCCTTTTGAGATACGTTACAATAGGTCATAAATGAGATTTCAAGTTTTCACATAGGTAAATACACTACAAGAATTTCGCGGATTAGCAAGGGCATTTAGTGAAGGATATAAATCCAAGCTATTTGCTCGCTAATTAGCGAGGGACTGGCGAGGAACTAATTAGCGAGCAAATAGCTTGGATTTATATCCCTCGCTAAATAGTGATCATTTTGCGACCGACCTTTATCTTCTCGCAAATCCTCCACTAAAGTTAGTGCTTATTTAGCGAGGAACTTAGGCTCTCGCAAATTCCTTGCAAATCCCTCTCCAAATAATGAGCCAAAATAAAAAAAATGAATTTTTCATCTAGCGAGGGAGTTTTCTTGTCACAAATCCCTCGCTAAGAAGTTATAAGTATAGCCCTCACAAATTCCTCGCAAATCCTTCGCAAATTAGTGAGGGAAAAGTTTTTCGCTAATCCCTCGCAAATAAGAGATTACGTTGCTTGCATAAACCCTCACAAATGTCTCAACATATAAATATATTTTTAAAATTCCTTGAAATAGTATAATTCCAAATTCTCCCAAAAGAGTAAGAATTTGAAATTTCTCATATTTTTTTTTCTTTTTATTTTAGTTATATATATATTTTATCTTATTTTTTATCTCTTCATTTTTTAATTATTGAATATTTAAAACAGAAAAATGAAAAAGAAATTTGATTAAAAAAAAAAAGTGCTAAACCTAATTTCCAAAAGAAAAAAAAGCCATATAAGGAGTTTTGTTCACAAGTTTTTCTTCTCGGTTTGACATTGTTCATTGAATAGATAAAAAAATTTGATGGATCTAGTTTCATGTTGCTTGAATGATTCATTTATGCGCCTATGACTATATGCTTCCATGAATCATGCTCCAATTCTTTTGCCTATTAGGAATTTCTGCCTATAATCTTTTTGCTTTAATTGATTCTTAATTGAAATTTTATTCGGTCAATTGCATGTTTGAGTCATTTTATTTGGAATCCATGTCTAAGAGTTTTGTGTAGTTCTTTACTTGTTCAACATTCTTAGCTATGCTTGTTAACCTTTTCTTTTCAATTGCATCTTGAAGTAGGAAAAATTACAAGAATGAAAATGAGCCCAATATTGGGTACCAAAAGCCCAAAGGCCCATGAAGCCCAAAACTAGGCCCAACTAGCCTAAAACCTAAAATGCTACTCTATGTGGTCCAAAATACAAGACCAAAATATATGATACCTATACTAACATGATGTATACAAAACATATGATCTTGAAGTATTTTTTTTGGATTTGGCCGAGATCCTTAGTCTATTGGTGTGCTCATAATTTTTTTGTTTGAATTTGAGTTCATAAACTACTATTAGTTCATTAGTAGTTTTCTTAGAATTTTTAGGTTTCCTATTCTAGAAAATGTCTTGAAATTTTTCTCCTTATCCGTGAGTTTAATCTTGTGTGACTTGTTGTTTTCTGAAATTTGTGTTTTAGTTTCATTTTGAAATTTAAATTTGGAGCCAAAATCGTGCATGTGTTAAGCAACCAAACAAGCATCAAAAGCATGTTGCATGTTCATTACATTTTAACCTAATTTGGTTGATATTTGAATTTCAAATTTGAATCCGGTTTTGGTGCTTCAATTTTAGTGTGACCGAGAGTGATATGTTGCATATTGTTTAAAAGAAAAAGGCAACTCCTAAGATAAAAAAATAATAATAATAGAACACAGTTCAAAAGAAAAATGAAAAAGAAATTTGATTAAAAAAAAAAAGTGCTAAACCTAATTTCCAAAAGAAAAAAAAGCCATATAAGGAGTTTTGTTCACAAGTTTTTCTTCTCGGTTTGACATTGTTCATTGAATAGATAATATTTTCAGCTTACATTTTTCTTGAGTGTTTGGGTTTTGTGAATCAATTCTAGAACCTTTCTTAGGATTTTTCTTTCTTGACCTAGCCAACTCTTGTCTTTTGTCATCTATATTGTCTTCTCCTACTCTAATCTTGTTTCCTTTAACTCTCAAATATCTTTGCCGTTTGTATTCATTATGGAATTCAAATGTGATGGAATCATGCTTTGGAGTGCAAGAGGTGATATACTCAAAGATCAAGACCAAAATATATGATACCTATACTAACATGATGTATACAAAACATATGAAAATAGCTATAACAAACTATGGCCCATGAAAAGTTCAACTTGGGCCTTCCCAGGCCCATAAGGCCCATTGGGCCCTGGCTGGCCCAAAC